AAAAGAAACTAAACTAACTAAAATAAGCAAAATACTAGCTAAAAGAAACTAAATGCTAAATAAAGATAGCAAAATAGTAACTTAAAGGAGCAAAACATGAGGTAGAAAGCTAAAAGAAGCAGAACATTAGATAAAAGCTAAAATAAACAACACGATAAAAGCTAAAAGAAACTAAACTAACTAAAATAAGCAAAATACTAGCTAAAAGAAGAAGTGCACTAGCTTACAATCTTAAAGAAGTATAACACTCGATACAAGCTAAAAGTAGCACAATGCTAGTTTAAAACAGTAAAAGGTTGGATAATAGCAAAATCAATAAGCTACAATCTGAAAACAGCTAAAAGGAGCACAAGCCTAGATAGAAGCTAAAAGTAGGTTAATGCCAGCTCAAACCTATAAGGAGCACAGTGCTAACTAAAATAGTGAGATTATTTTCCAACCAACGAACCTGTCGGGACCAGAACCTGCAGGTTCGGCGGTCCCACCTTTAGCTCGAGCGCGCTCAGTCACGTCCTGGTCTGCTTTTGACAGGATTACCTGGACCTGGCGGCGTCCACCCCGGCCGACGCCCTGCTGTACGACGACACCCTCTCTGAAGAGGACACCCCTCTAGTGGACTGTAATAACGCCCCCGCCCCTCGAACCCTCCCCTCCACATGGATTGAGAACAAGCTCTATGGTAGAATCTCCCACGCTTTCACTCGATTTTAGAAACAGAGCTCCTTCTCTCTTTTGGCAAGACGTAGTTGGCTTTTCTTTAGTCGTGCGTGTGTGTGCGTGCGTGCGTGTGTGTGCGTGCGTGTGTGTAGGCATGCTTTTTACCGTTTCACGCTGACGTTTCTCCCATTTCTCCGTAAATGAGAGGCTCAGTTAAAAAAGAGAACGTCTTTTTCTTTCTTTGTTTTCTTTGGACCTGCTTCTAATGTACATGTGTGCTGACCCAAAACAAACATTTGTATATTTCTATACACACCCACGTTTAAATTTTAAAAACGCTGCTTCATTCAAATTTGTAAATAACTCACATTTTCATTGTTTTGTTTTCGTTGACCCCGGAGGGGACGGAGTGTAACATTTGAAACAGGTCCTCTGTGAGTCAGTCGCTCGTTGTGGTTTGAAGTTTCAGATCGTCTTAAATGTGCCGACTCTACGTCTTTAAACTGTCTTGACTCCACGATGTTGACCAGCAGGGGTGCGACGAGACCGAAACATCACGAGATTTATCTTTAAGCTCAAAACTGTCTCATGAAGTGAAAAATAAAAAAACCTCTCATGACCATCTGGTGAAATCATCTCTGAAAATGTCTCCACCACGTTTCTGTTTAAATAAACGTGTCAGGCACTAGGACCATGTGGCGCACGTCCCTTAGCTTCTCCATACAACCTCTGCAGCTACGTGCTGAGAGGAAGAGTCTGTCAGAATTTATTTAAAACAGAACCGAGCTCATATGATTTGTTGACTTTAAAACTGAAAAAAAGAAGTTTAAAGTTTTAAACCCCTCATTAAGCTGTTGAACTGAACAGGAAATGAGTCGATCAAACTTTGAGGTAGAGATAAAAAAAAAATCGACCAGTACCGTTTTCTGAGTACTGTTTAGTCCTCTGTGTGAGCAACGGTCCTCTGATGAAAATAACTAAATAAACTAAAAACAGGAAAGGAGTTTCACTCTAATGTCCTGTGAGCTTCACGTTTCACAGCGACTGAGTCTGCCGATATTCAATATATCCAAATTATTTTCTTTTTCCCTGTAAAATTAAGGTGGAATCTTTGCAGATTGTTTTTATTTTCATTAAGTGTTTTTTTTACTTGTTTTGGTTGCCCTAAAATGTTTTAATTAGGGAAAGAAAAAAAAAAGGGGGGGGGGGGGGTAACAATATGTAATACAGCCCAGTACTTGCTGAGTAAAGGTAGCATCGGGCTGTATTATGTAGTGACCTGTTGCCCTGTACCTACAAAGTACATACCTGGTACTTACTACATATGTACTGGATAAGTACCAGGTAAGTTCCTGGCACTATTGTGTATTCTTACCCTAAAATGTTTAAAAAAAAACAGTCTTTAATTACTAAAAATTCCATAAACTTTTTATTCTGACTGATAAATAAGATAAATTGAAAATAAGTTATTTTCATATTTTGACATGATCTGAAAAACATAATAAATGTATGTACTTATTTCACATTTTTATCACTTTATACCTTGATCAGATGTTTAAATTATAATAAGTTCGATTTCCTTCTAAGGTCTGAAATGAGAAATCAGGTCGGACAGTGGAGCTCGTTTTCCTCAAAAACTGTTAAAACTTTGACTCATCTTGTGAAAAGTGTCTCGTTCCGCCCCCGCTGAGCAGAGTAACAGTAAGGCTTCAGAACACAACTTCACTTACAGTTCTCAAAGGCTACTGGAAGTCACAGATTAGCCTCCATAAATCAATCAATCAAATGAATAATCTCATACGACGTTGGTTTGAGAGCCTTACTGTCTGCACGCTGTTTACCTTTCACTGAGTGCAGACAAATGATATGTTCTCATTTTTAGGCATGTCATACCCCAACTGGCCCGAGAAGAGCCCGGTACTGCTCAACAGACACGATGCCACTAATCCGGTCGTTACAAGATATGCCAATGATAGTGTTTATGCAAACTGGATGGCTTTGCCCTCACCCGCAAAAGCCGTGGACAAGCTCGATAGCTAAAGACAACCTAACTGGTAGATGTATATATTTGTGTAAGTGTGTACATAAAAACAGCCTGATGTTAAAGTCCCCGTTTTATTTCTGCTGCGCAGGTTTTTAAAAAACTGTTTTCTGGATTAACGTGCTTCAATCAGCTCCTCGCCGTGTTTCGTACCACTGCATGACTGTTGTCCAGTACGTCGGTGTCTTTAAAGTGCCTGCGTCACTTCTACAGTAGACCTCCAACTTTAAGATTCTGGTTCCGGTCCAGGACCCAGAGGGGACGCTTTGACTGTCATGTGTTCAGCTAAGAGGACGCAAATGGAAATCCCAAACTGGTTCTGGAAATCTAAAGTTGCCTTTTTACAGGATTGCTCCTGTCAGAATCTCAAAGACACGTTTGCCTTTTTCCTCCACGACACGTTTCAGAGCTGCCGAAGAAAAGAAACAAACGTGACGAACTCTTCTGCTTTTGTTGGTCATTAAGACGCCATCCGGTGAGCGGACATGAAGATCGAGCTTCTGTCCCGTGTCGGGCTCCACGTTTCCATTCACTGTAACGATGATGTAAACCAATGAATGCTGTTATGTTATTTGATTAATTATTAATAAAATGGAAAGAAATACTTTGTTTAACTTGTGACTCTGAAAATGGTCTCCACGATGTACAACTCATGTTTCATATAAATTATTACTAATCCTGCTGGGTTAAAACAACCTAATCTGTAATCCAGGCTGGGTCCCATTTGGACCGTGCTAACCCGGGTTAGTTTTAACTCAGCGGATTATCACTTTGATCCAGAACTACCCCATATCAGAATGACTCATTTGCAAAATAAAAGCTACTAATAGGTTGAGTTGAAAATAACAACCGAACATCTGGGTTACTTCATGACTACAATTTGTGTTTGTGCTAGCTAGTGCTAATCACTATTAGCATTAGCATCTGCTAATTTTAGCCAGTTTG